AAAAAAAAAAAACCCTCACCACCATCTAGTTGATTTTGATGCATATCATGGGTCTAGGACACAGTAGGTTTGAACTGTTGACCTCGGACTCCACCTCCTCTGTTATCTTTCCAGCATCTCTCCTGCTCTCTGATTGCCACTCCTATTTATTCTGCATCCTATTTCCTTCACCCAAGTCACCAAGTCCATTCATTCCAGCCAGTCCCCGGCCTCCAAACCATACAGTAACATTCCTCCCAGCCTACCTACAGATCTGGAAACTCTCCCCAGGAATAGTGGGACCCCATCGCTATGGCTCCTCCTGTTGCCCCCTCCGAAACTCTGGCTTTTATTCCAACTGAAATTCCAGTTGTTGTGACATCCACCATTTCCCTACCTGAGATCCCCACTGCGACCCCTTGCCCCATTCCCCTTTCCTCAGAATTCCCAAAACACACACACACACACACACACAGAGCAATCATGCACACACACACATTCCTCAGCTGCTTCTGGATGAGATAGTGTGAACTTCTGGCTGTAGCACAGGCCCCAGGCAGCCTCAGCCCTTTGCTGCTCAACATCGGAGGCAACTTCTCAACATCAGAGGCAACTTCTCTTCACGGCTGTGGTCCCCGGTCCTCTTAAACCCTTTACTTCCGCTCAGCTGGCAGCTGTGCCAAAGCCCCAAAGAGCTCCCAGCCTCACCCTCATTTCCCCAGAGCTTAAAATGTAGTTGCAGACATGCGTCCATACACACAGGAAATGCAGACCGGGGAGGAATGGAAGCCCAAGCATTCGATCACCTTCCTAAATGTGGATCTAGACAGGATGGATTGGCACAGTCACCACAGCAATGGGCTCCGAGGTGGGAATGATTTATGAGGAGGGCGCAGGACCATAGGGTCCCTCTGGGTGGGAACTGACTTGATGGCATCTAACGACAGGCTCTAAGTGCTTGTTCTCCTACTGGCTGGAGACGGACAGGACACGGCTGGAATGTATGTGTGGTTGTGAAGCTCCTCGCTAGTTCTAAACATGACCTCTTCACCTGTAGACCTTTGCACTCTTTTCCCTCCATCCGGCACACCCTTCCCCTGTATGCAGGTGACTCCTTGTCATTCAAGGTCCTACTCAAACGTCTCTTCCAAGGGGCCTTCTGGCCTCGCCCTGTTGTTCTGCACCTTCTCTCTGTTTGGTGCACATCACGGATCACTACCTGATATGTCAGGATGTTGTGGATTTCCTGAGAGCAAGGACTTGGTCTGATTTTACCATATGTCGTTAATACATGCCTGCAGTGGTGCCTGGTACAAAGTTAGCATTGACAGTGACGTTGTGACTGAACGAAGGAACGAACGTACGAATAGATATCTACATATAGATATCTTCTTGCCCCTCTGCAAGTTCTGTTGTAGTTGTTACCCTGGGAGTGCATCAGACGGCATGTCGTGTGTGAAAATCATGCGTGCTTCCGAATAGACACACAAACCTCTACGACGATGCTTGAGGAAGGCTGGAGGGCTTGCTATTCTTACTGGAGGTTGGTGGGCGTCTGGAGATGTCAGTGCTCCGAGGGGGTGTGTCCCCGGGTGCTGTGCACCAGTTTGCCTCCCCAGCTGTGCATCTGTCCCCAGGTGTCTTCCTGTCTCTCAGCATGTACCAACGTCTTGGCAGCTTTGGTGAGGTGTTTGTCTATCACACAGTATTTATCCCCACTTCTTTTCCCTCTTGTCTTTCCACCTGTGCCTCTAGCCGTGTGTGGCGGTGGGGAGTCTCCCTCCGCTCCTTTGCCCCCTTCACACAGACAGCCCTGCCCTCCTCTTGGCCCCCTCCCTTTCTCAGTGGGCCCTGTTGCTGGGCTCGGAGTTGCCATAGTGACGGTTGCCAAGTCCCTGAGGCTGATAGCCAGCGATGGGGCTGTTGGCTCCATCCACGCGGGAGGCTGAGGGGGGCTTCCTATTGTGTGGAGAAGGGGATGTTACCATGTCAACCAACCCCCCACTAAGGGGCAAGGACCAGCCCTTCCACCACCCCCAACCCCCCCTTGGGCAGCTCCGGTGCCTGTTCAGAAGGCACGAGCAAATTCCAAGAGATGACAGCCCAGCACCTGGCCCGCACCTAGAGCCCCTTGCCTCTCAGGATTCAGGAATCTTGCTTAGGCTGGGGGAGGGGGAGAGGTTCCAATGGAGAGAGGAGGCAAAGGGAGGGGGGACCCCTTGACCTCTACGCAGATGGGAGACAGCAGGGAGAGGGCCTAAAGTCAGGGGAGAGGCAGGCAGGGCAGAGGTTGTGACCCCTGCTGACTCGCTCCAGTGATGCTTCTGCAGGCTGCCTTTGTGGATGGAGAAGGGGGCTGGGCTAGGGCTGGGCACCTGGGCTTTTGAGGGGAGACAAGCCTGGGTTGTGGCTTTATAGGGAACGGGTGCCGGGGAAGCCTGATGCCTGGATCCCTCAGTCCTTCTGGTCAGTCTCATCCTCTTATCCCACTTGAGTCTCCAACAGGTAACTGTGCCAAGGAATACATTGTTCACTTGTTCTCACCACTTTCTTTCTGACTTCGATGTGCCTTGTCTTTACTTTCTAGTCACTGGAATGCATTAGCAGCTATCTTCCAGTCCTGCCGGGGGTTTCTCCCCCTTCCTGGCACCCTGGTGAGACTTGCACCTTCAGCAACCTCCTGCCCAGCCCCTCATCCCCTCCTCCTCATTCCAAGCCAACCCCTCGCTTCCCATCCCCCTTGGTTTCATCAGCCCAGCCACCCCTCCACTGGAAAGCCAGCTTAGTCCTCTCCCAGTTCACACCCATTCAATCTCCAACCTTCTTGACAACTTTTGAAGTTTTTTATTCTTTTTTTTTTTTGGTTTTTGTTGTTCAAATTTCCCTTTTACAGTCAAACTATTGAGGTGACGGCCATACCCCGCCATCTTCCCCATGGCAATATCAACTTCCTGTTCCCTTGAAAGACGGTTTTAAAAAACTCAGGAAGGAGCTGGGAACTCTATCACCGGAGAGATGATTTAGCCTCTGGTGGACAAAACAACCATCTTGGCTGGTGCTCCAAGTGGCCACCTTGGGCAGCTCTGATCTAATGACACTGCGCGGGAACTGAGGCGCCACCCAAGTAGGAAGAGAGGTATACGCTGGTCGCTGTGGACACAGTGGTAGCCGGTAAGTACCGCTGTCAGCTAGACCAGTCAGTAGGCCACCATTTTGGTCACTAAGAAGGGAGTTGAGTTGAGCTTGAAGGGAGCAGGGAATGGAGGATGCAATGAACAAGCCAGCCATCTAGGCTCCTGGGGAAGAACACATGGGTTCTTGGGGTCGTCCGGTTGATTCACAGAGACTATACCGGGATATGGGAAGGGAAGAAACACAAGACAAACTGGGCCTGCCACAGTAGAGGTCCGTCATCGTAGCTGTTCTAAAAGCGGCACAGAAGCACAAGGAAAGGGAGAGCTTCGGACGTGCCACTGAGAAACTAGGAAAACCCTGCTCAGTCCACCCCTGTCTTCTCCCAGTGAGTTAAGTCCCAGCTTCCTCCTGAAACAGGAAGTTCTTCCTGCCCCCTTCTCCACAGTCAGAACCATCCACCCCACCCCACCCACCCACCCAGACTAAGCCACTTCAGAGTTCCAGCCAGACCACTCCTATTTCAGAAGTGCTACTTCCTGTCCTGGATGAAGGCACTTCCAGTTCCTGCTGCTTGGCTGCTGCCACTTCCGGGGCCATTCCTGTCCTGGCCCGATCACTTCCTGTCTGGATCAAGTCACTTTCTGTCCCAAGTGGTCCATTCAGGATCAAACCAAGTCCATACACGTCCTGACCGTTCATATCTTGTCACTGGCCACTCCTGGACAAAACGGGACACTTCTCATGGTAGCCGCTGTAACCCAACCACCCCAAATGGATGAAGCAAGTAGGTAGAGGCCTGGGGGTGGAGGGGGGGCAGCGGAGGGGCAGGGCAAAGAGACAGGCCCTGCTGCCCATGGCCTGCCTGCACTGGGAGGATGCCAGAGCCTTCCCTGTAAGGCCCCCCCCCCATTTTTTGGTGGACTGAGGGGAGTGGTTGGTGAAAGAGGTCAGAAGAGCTGGGGGGAGCCATGCCTTGATGCCCCCACCCCGGAAATGGGAGAGACACAGGATAAGAAGCCAAGAGGGTAAAAGGAGATGGAGGGAGGAGACTGCTAGGGAAGAGGACAGAGCTAGACAGAAGAAAGAGACAGAGAATAAGAGATAGAAAGAGAGAGAGAAGAGAGAAAAACAGTGAGAGGCAGAAAGAGATGCCAACCAACAACGGACAGACTTGGCCCCGCCCCGACTCTCAGTGGGTGAGAAGGGCCAGGACATCTGGGTCATGGTCAACAGTAGAGGCTGAGCCCCTGCTCCCCCGACCCCAGGGAACAGGACCCACGGATACAGAGACAAAGAGGGCACACAGCCCAAATAGGGCAGGAGGTGGTTCAGTGGGATTTTTAGAAATCCTAAAAGTGGAGAACACGCATAGCCAGGAGGGACGATGGAGGTGGCAGGGTAAAGGGGGCCAAGGAGAAGCTAGTGGCAGCCCTCAAGCCATGGATTAAACTGGAGGGAGCACCCCCACGAAGGGTTGAAGCCAGGAGAGCCGGTGAGAGGGGCCCTCATACCTTGTAGTAGATGTTTGGAGGACTCTGGGGGGGCCCATCCTGCACGATGTACACAGGATGCCCATAGTCGCCACTCACCTTCTCATAGTGGGGACAGAAGGGGGGGTCTGCGGCCCCACTGCCCCGAAGAGCTATCCCTAGCTCCCCAGACTCAGCCTCCCGAGGCCCCATCCCTCCCCCACCCCCCAGGCCCAGAGGCCCTCCCCTCCCAAAGGAGCCAGGACCAGGGTGGCGACTCTCCGAAGGTTTGGCCCGCCGTCTCCTCCAGCACATGGCACCCCCAGCCCCTGCCACGCCCAGCAAGAGCAGTGCCAGCCCCCCTGCAGCCCCAGCCACTGCAGGCATGCTGGGAGGGGGCAGGGGGCCTTCAGCACCCCGAGAGGTTGCATTGCTGCTGGGGTCACCTGGCAGGGAAGGGGTGAAGGAGGAAAGAGGGGGAGGGGCTGAAGGAGCCACCTGGGCATCCGGACACCCAGCCATGGGGTCTCCCCACTGGCCTCCCCACCAATGCCCAGGTCCCCTGGGGGCCCTACCTCCCTTACCCACTAAGCCCGGCGCCTAATCCAGGTGTCCGGCCTGCCAGCTTCCTGCCACACAGTCCTCCCACTTCTCTGACAGTGCTGATTGAAGCACTGACTTGGCTAATTAGTTCTAATTGAGGCTTTTCCTCATCTGGCTTCCATTCCCCTCCCACCCTCCCATCCACTCTTCTTCTCTTTCCTGTTTTGCCGCCCCCAAAACTCGAGAGGGAGGAGAGAGGGAGAGGGCAGGGCAGCTGGGGTCCTAGAGCAGGCTGGACCTACCTGGTGTGTGCTCCTTCCCAGGCTCCAGGCTGTGAGCGGCGCCCCCATCTCTTTCCACAGGCGTTTCAGAGACAGGTTTTCGGGGAGCAGCCCCTCCTCGGGGACCTGTTGATGGGGGAGACCCATGAGAGAGGCTGAGACAACTGATCCCCTGATCATGATGGTACTGCCCAAACCTGGAGGTGTCCCCCAGCCCCACTCACTCTGTCCCACTCGGAGAAGCACCTTCATGCCTCTGGTTAGGCACACACCTCCCTGCAAGCTCTCCAGGCCTTCCCGGGTCCCATCCGATGTGGCTGGGAGACAGAAGCCAGAGGGGAATGTCAGCACTTCAGTGTACCCCTGCCCTGGTCCTGTCCCCAGGCCCAGGCCTGATGACCTCCACCCGAGAGCAGAAAGGTCTCCCTCTGCCACCCCACCATGGTCCCTCTTCCCATCTGCCCTCCTTCCATCCAGGAGCACCTCCCGGCTCTGCCCGCCCTGCCCTCTGCCAATGATGTAGTACCAATGATGTAGTAATCGTGGTGGGAGCGGAACTCATGGCCCCAGAGGTTAGGGCTGTACTCCTGGAACTTAATGGTGAATCGAAGGTCCAGGTCTGGCCGGTCACAAGTGAGGAGAAGGTTTGGAGCTGGGGGTGCCTCACAGCGCCGGCCCTGGGCCCCGCCTACCAGGTACAGCTTGTAGAACTCATAATTGGGAGAGGAGTGGGGACCAGGTGGCCGGGCCCGGGGACAAAGCAGGTCTAGCCGGTCTCCAATTTGAGGGTATAACACGTAACCACCCTCAGCCTGAAACCTATGGGGAGGAGAGCAAGGTGGACAGGGAGGAGGCGGTGTCAGAGGTCTGACCCCCGAGCTTTCCCTCCCTCGCCCCCACCTCCCTCCAAGACAAGAATACTCAGCTCCCGGTGCCCGCCTTTGTCTGGAGAGTCTGTTCTTCCCCAGTGGCACCATGTACTCTATAAGCTCACATCAGAAACAGCGGGAAGCCAGGCTCAGAGGTCTCTTGCCCCTTGGTGTGCCCAAATGTACTCCTCAGCCCGCCCTCACCACATGCACACTGCCATCTCTCGCTCCATCACCAGCCCCGTTGCCATGGCGACAGGATGCCAGTTACCAAGGAGCTGGCCTCTCTGGAACCACACAGCCCACCCCTCCCAGGTGATTTCACTGTTTCATGGCAGTCGACCATGGGGACTGAATGCCCCCCTCCCCCCAGGCCACCACTGAGGTTTGGGTTGAGTGGGAGTACCCCAAGCCAGGCATAGCAGGGGATACAGGTGAAGGGTGATGCAGGCCTGTGTCTGACGTTACCCAGACCCTCTGACAGTTCTGGAAATGTCCTCAAATGGGGTTACTGGGGACCAGGGTCTATATGCCAAGGGTCCAGGCTTTTCTTCTGCTCAGTCCCCTTACCCCAGGTGTCACACTTCCTGTAAAAGGTGTTGACTTTTCTGAACATAAGCACCACCCTCATCTCCCTCGCCCCACACTCGGCAGCCCCTCCCTCTGCATTGATGGCTAAAACAGTGTCTGAACTGAACCCCAGGATACTGCTGCTACCGGTGTCTCCTCAGATGTCCAGAACCTCCCAGCCAGCATGCAAAAAGCCCCCAGAACACCGTGGCTCGATGTTCTCCACTCTATCAGAACTAGCCTAGCTTACATCCTCCCACTACACTTGAAACTCAAACAGCCACTGGGCACTGGTGGATGAGTCTAGAACACACATTGGGACGATGCCCGAGGAAGGGATGCCAGCTGTGAAGTTAAGAGGAAGAATCGCCATCCTAGCTCTCCCTGAACGAGCATATGATACAGCCGCTCCACGCAGCAGAGGATTGTGGCTGCCAGCTCAGAAAGGTTAAGCGACTGGCCCAAGACCACACACAGCAGAAAGAAGCAGGGCTGGGCTTAGATTCTTGAATGTGATGAGGTTCCAAACCCACCCTCTTCCCATGCCTCCCATAGCCTCCCAGGACATAGGAAGTTTTCAAATCACAGAACTCTTTTGCTGGAGGAGGAGGGGTGGGGTGGGGGTGGTGTGTGTGTGTGTGTGTGTGTGTGTGTGTGTGTGTGTGTGTTGGGGTGGGGGTGGTATGTGAGGGATCTAGGTGGTGGCAAGGGACCCAAAGGATCTGGCCTACCCTATATGGCTTGAAGTTTCATCTGACCTCTAGCCTCTTTTCAGAGCAAAGCAAGCATACCATGGAACAGAGAACTGAGGGGCGAGCTGGCAGCAAAGGGGGTGGGGTGGGGAGCAAGGGCTCTCAGGATTCCAGATGTAAGGAGGGTGGGAGGCTTAGGCGGGGCTCAAGGTTCCCCCCCAGAAAGTAGTCCCCAAGCCAGGGAGATAGGAAAAGAGGAGTATCTATCTATCTTCTGGGGAAGGAAATGAATGGTTCAGCCAAGGGTTCTTCGCCCCTCTGGATGTGGGCAAGAGTTGAGAGACAAGACTGTAAGAGGAACCCAGCCGCCTCAGGGCCCCCAAACGGAGCCCCCTTCTCTCCCATCTCTAACACCAAGTCCTTTCTCGGAAGGGAGGCACCTAGCCTGCCCCTCAGCAGCACCTATCAAAGGCTCTCCTGAGGGCTGACATTAACCAGGCTCCCTCCAAGCCCAGCCCCCATACAAATCTCCCGCAAATCCAAATAGCCACTCCAACGTCCTCCTGAGCTACCCGTGAACTTTCTCACTCTTGTCCCTTTGCGGGGGGCGGGGGGG